AAATTTTAATATTTCATACTGTGTTCATGTTACAAGCAATGGTCAGACATGGAAACATATCTCCTAGAACCAACAAAACTAAACCTTTTTTTTTAAAACTACGTACGTGCGTACGTACGTAATTTTGAGACCCTTGATTAGCAACAACGATAGTTGATTTTCTAAGAATCTTTCAGGGATTTGTTTCGAGTAATGTGATTATCAAATAGCATATGGTAGGTGAAGTATAGATATTATAATTCAAATTTATACGTATGACGCAAGAAGATAGCCTCTAACTTACTAAATATAATTGAGTCTAAGATTTTTTTTTTTTTTTTATTACTATTATTAATTATTATTATTATTCATTGAGGATATATACAATCGGGTAAACTGAATTACTAAGCTGAACAATAAAAATATGCAAATGATGAAAATTATGGAAATTGCAAAAAAAGATGATGGGGAAAAATGTAAAAAAAAGAAAATGGAAATGATACAAAATTATTATTGGGAAAAAAATAATATTCACTCATGCTAATTAATATTCACGCTAATATTCATCATGTTAATATTCATGCATGCTAATATTCATGCTAATATTCATGCTAATATTCATGTTAATACTCATGCTAATACTCATGCTAACATTCATGCTAGTTATTTTTCATGCTAATATGTATGCTAAATATTCACGCAATTTTTTTTAATTTCTAATTACGCGTAAAAATAATAATCTAATGAGGACAAGGTAAGTCAAACATTTGACATAATTTTATTCTCATAAATTGAAATGCATAAGTTTTAAACACATTCTTTTTTGAAGCTTCTATAACACATCCTCCACAAAAATGTCTGTCTTTACACCAACCACACTTGATCCAAAACTCATCCCAATATTTATATTTTGTATTACATCCAGCGCATTTTAGCGTACAAAGTTCGCATGAGAGATCCGAACATGATTGGAATTGGAATATGCCGTCATTTGCATCATTTTTTTCATTATTGATTTTATTACATTCTATCGGATTTGTTGTGAGGTTGACATTTGTGTAAATGTTGACAGAATTTGACATCAAAACGGCAGGCATCATATTTGACATTGTAGCTGAAATTGTTGAAATTGTGTCGATGTTGTACGACTTGCCATAAGCGTTGTTTTGATTTTCATTATAACAATTATTAACGTTAATATTATTATTAATATTAATATTATTATTATTAATCCTTCTGCCTTTATTGAAATCCTCTCGTTGTCGTTGTTGTCGTTGTTGTTGTTGTTGTTGATATTTCTTTAAAACTTGTAAATCTTCTAAAATTTGTTTAATCGTGAAAGAATGCCTTTTTCCACCAACACATCTAGTTAATACTATTTTTTTTAATTTTTGTAATCTTTTTTTTACCATGATTTTTTTATCTTCTAAATTTTCATTTTCTTGATATAAATTTTTCATGGCTGTTGTTATTGGTAATAATTTAACCTCTTTACATCCTAGAATGTATAATTCTTGTAAATTTTCACAATTTTCTAATACGGAAATTACATCTTCGGCTTTTATTTGTGAATTATTGAATGTAAATTTGTGAATAAATGGGAGTTTATTGGTCGATTTTAAATGGGAAAATAATTTGGCGAATTGATCATGAGAAATAGAGGGAGGGATAAATACATGCGAAAATGTGACTGCATCTGAGAATGATAAATAAAGTGTTCTACATGTAGAACGAAGGGCTAAAGTTGAAAGAAATCCTAAATCTTTACTGATGATATAAAGAATGTCATCGGGAAGTGATGAAATTGTAGTAGTCATCTTCATAGGATTATAGTTTATCACAGAGCAGCACATTTTTTATGTCTATTTATTTTATTTTTACGTTGAAGTTAACGTATTTATATTTTATAAAAAGGAGAAAATATTCAAATTTCCTCCTTCTTATGGTTTATTAAAGGAAAGACAAAATAGTAATCACTATTTAAAAAGAATAAAACATATATAATTAATATATATATGAAAAAAGCGTGTTAAACATATATAATTAATATATATATGAAAAAGCGTGTTTTTTTTTTTTTTGCTTGAAATTTTATAAAGCATGAAATTGCAAGACATTTATTACTTATATATCTTTGTTATCATTACTCCAAAGAAAGTTTTCATTTATGCAAGTAAAGATGCCGTGAACCACATCTCTTGTAATTGTTCGATTGTTTTTTTTTTGTGTATGGTTCATCAGTGGTCCAACCACTAAAGAACATATTTCATAAAACGCATAAATGTATATAAATGTATTCATACCATTCAATCGTTTCCTTTTACACCCCAATAATATATGCATCTAATGCAGTATGTAGCGAATATTAGAGAAAAAAAAAAATCCAATAAAGTTAAAAGACGCAGGGATTTTGATTAAAAACTTTGTGAAAAGTATGACGCATACAAACAATCATGCATATAAACATCATGTATTTAAAAGGTATTTAAAAGGATATTTAAAAGATGATGTAAACAATCATCAATTTGTTAAAAATTGTGCATGGTTCGATTAATGCATTATCAGTTTTTATTATATATATTATTAAAATATCTCTATTATTAAAAGTTTCGATAGGTCCTTTTTATTTTCCTATTGATGCCTAGTAAGTTGTCGAAACCGAATATTTTTTACGCCAAAAAAAACTGTAACAAAAAAATTGGTTTAAAAAAAACCCCCAAAATTATTAATAAATGCTAACGAGAATATTTAATAAGACGCGAATCGGGTCCCTTAAGCGTTAAATCTTTGAAACTAATTTCTAAAAACGGACTTTTACTCGGTTGGGCTAGACCGTTAAAAGGTTTTTGTGGTATAATGCAACATCTTTCTTCCCGCTTCTTCATGCTTCATCATGTTTCTTCATGCATTACTATGCAAACCCCAAACTATACTTTGATGTTGACTTACTAATACTGTATATATTAACTTAGTATTTAGAGAATAAGTATGCTTTAATAATTAAGGGATTCGAAACGATGCAAAGGATTCGTTCAAAAAAAAAAAAATCTGCGATGTATGATTTAAAGTATCTAGTATTATTAGTATGGCTTTAAAAATATTTGTTACTGCTGCTACTTAAAGTTTAAAACATTGCCATTTTTGACTAATATCACATGGTTCTTTAAGGTACTTCCTCTTTAACTATTGGTACGAATTTTAAAAGAATTCTCACGCGATTGAAAAGGGAATTATATTGGTTATTCTCTATCCATTTTATCCATTTTATACTCACGGTCAATACATACCGTTTGGTTGAGATGCTGCTAATTGGCTCGCTCGAATCCCTTCTTTCCCGGAAATATCACCATTCTAAATATGTAACTGCTAAGGTACATTTGGCATTTATTTAATTTATCTAAGGTAACTAAATTACATTTAATCTGACTAAAGTACATTTAATCTACCTAAAGTACATTTAATCTTAACTAACGCTAAGTACGCTAAGCATAGCAAGTAACCAATACCGATACCAATAAAATTATATACATACGTACTAATTCCCGCCTCACGTGACGCTTGTGTAAAATATACTCGGTTGAACCTTTGAAAAATTATCTTTTTGAAAATTATCAATATAATGTGGTAAATTATCAATTCAGCTAAAAAAACAAAAAATAATAATTGCTGATTTTCTAATTTCTTTTGACAGGTTCTCTCTACTCTGACTGTTCTGACATATGCATTAGATATTTCAAAATGCAATTACATATCGATTTCACATAGTACGTACTGTACGTATAACAAACACCCGAATAATCCGGTTGTGATGCCTCAACAGTTTTGAATACATATCCCCTGCAAAATGTGCAAAAAAAGTGCAAAAAACGTTGGTTGCCTAATTTCACAAACAGATTTTCTTGACATTTCATTTCCCAACTGCATTTTTCATTGACAAAAAATTCTTTAATCTGATAAATACTTGCCTTAACAGGGCAGGACATTTACGTATGTACGTACGTGAATAGGCATTTCCTTAACAGGAAATTTTTTTTCCAATAAGAGATTTGTCTGACTGGGGATTGCCCAATGAAAGTATCCTTGACGAGTCTTCTCAACGAGAAATATAATCTTAACTTTAGCCTGTCAATATACTTGAAATATATATATACTGTATATTAAAGTAAATATACTATAGACTGTCGGTAAAATGGGTTATCATTGAATATTTATGAAGAATTTTACGAATTCATGGGGCTTATTGATATTATTTTTTCTTTTTAATAAAAGAAAGATCATAAACTAAATTATTATTTTAATATTATTTTGATATTATTTTAATAGTATTTTAATATTATTTTAATAGTATTTTAATATTATTTAATATTCTTTTAATATTATATATTTTAATATTCTTTTAACATTATTTTAATATTTTTTTAACGTTATTTTATTATGATTTTATATTATTTTATTATTTTACTATTATGATTATTTTATTATTGTTATGAATAGATAAGATTTTTTTTTGCCTTCAGTTTGCGATACTCATGGATATAGAGCGGGCTTAAACGACTATATTGAAATGCCGGCATTCAAAGTACTATTTTTGATCTCTGAGTTAAATTCCGGCCATTCAAAAGTATTATTTTTGATCTATGAGTTAAATACGAAACAAACATTTAGTATGCTGTATCAAAAATATCATTTCAAACAATAAGACGCAGGCCGGCAAATTACTATAGTAGTTTAAGCTCTGATATAGAGCACGAGGTAGTCCGAAACTATGGTTTTGTGCTAATTTAAGGATCCGATTATATAGTATATAATATAAATTTAAATGTTTCTAACTTCTTTTGAATCGCTAAATATAGATCTTTTTCCATCTTTCTGACAAACATTTTCCAGTAAACATTTTCCCGATAAACATTTTCCCGATAAAAATTTTCACGACAAACAAAATCCTGACAAAAATTGACCGGAAATAACACCATCCCTAATCTAGAAACTTGCTAAATATATGTAATAAAATATATTTATTAAATTCACTTGTCACTATTTTTTAAGGTAAAAGGATCTTCCTTTTTCTTGAAATTAATTGGTTTTAATAATCATCAGCCTTTAGTTTAAAAAAAAGTCAATTTAAAAAGAGTGTTAAAATGAACTAGATACGTCTTCATTTGCATGCGTTACTGTAAGTAACTTGAACTTATTAGGATTAACAAAAATCTTTAGCGTTAGACTACTCGTACTGCTATGTTTGTAAATCTATGATTGGTTGGTATGTGTTACATGTCAAACTGTACATCTAAAATAAAGGTGCGGTAGAGCCAACTTTCTCGGGTAATATCCGAAACATTGACAATAAAGCAGATCATTACAATTGTTCTCTAATTTCTGTGACAAACTAAATCTCTTTGGTTTAATGTTAAAAAAAATCATCTAACGTTTCAAAAAAAAAAAAAAAAAAAAAAAAAAACTTTTGTGAAACGATCAAATTAAAAATTTGATCTAAACTTTATAAAGAAACATTACTGTATATTTGATATTAAAGTTCTAAATAAGTGAATCCCGGTTCCGATTTAGGTTTCGGTCAAGGTTTTAGATCATGTATTAGTATTCGTTATTATTATTCGTTATCATTATTCGAATCAGATTTGTAATCAACGAATATTCGGAATTCATATTCGTATTCGAAAAAAAAATTCTTCTAAATAATTATTCTGCAAGATAACGCGAAAAAAAAAATTCTTATTTCAAATAAATAAATCTCCCTCCTTCGAAAATCTTATTGAATAAACAATTCTTATAATTCTTATTTAAACAATTTAAATATTTTACATTATCTGTTACGTAAAAAACTAGTTATTGGCTACTTTATATTCAATAACTATTACTTATTAAATTTGCCGAATATTTAAATATGCATTTATTAACCTGATTAATTCAAATATAAAATCGTACTGTATGATCTTTATTAACATGAATAATTTAAATATTATGACTTATATAATCTGAATAAAAAAATTGTATGATCTAGTATGGTTTTAAAAGTACGATCCAAAACTCGAAACATTCGAATTTTAGTCAAAAGTTTCAAATCACATGTATAATATAATTGGTTTCATCAATCAATAATTAAAATCGATCATAATTTAATGTTTAAGTAAAATAAAAAAGCGAAATGCTGTAATGTTTTTGTAGATAGAAACTCCTTAAAATTTTTATGATACTGTCGTAATTCTAGAAATGGATTCTAGAAATGGATTCTTGTAATTGAATCCATCATGAATAAATAGGATTCGTCAAAACTAAACAAACTAGATCAAACTAGATCAAACCAGATCAAACTAGATCAAACTAGATAATTTAAAGTGCTCTGACACGTATTTGATAAAGATACTTCACAATCGTTTAGAGTTGGTATTTGTTTAGATATTATTGGTCATCACATGATTACTAAAGACTATCTTGTGATTGGTTGACTTTTTTATTTCGAGAGCCAACTTTGAACGAATATATATATAAATGTTAAAATAGAGAGATCGAAAGCAAGTTATATCGAAGAACAAACTTTCATTAACATATTATTATAAAAATTTACGACTTGTAAATAGCGAGTAATAAAATCAACAATCGATGAAAATTCTCTGATGTTACGTTGGAAATTTGTCAGCAGTATTAGGAGTTTGATATAACAACCAATAAAATTTCAATAATCAGCTAGATTTTTATGCAGGATAACGTTTAAACATATTAATGTGAAAAAGATTAGTAATTATCCGGTTGGTGTAATGGTATAGTTCTCCGAGCAGTACGCGCCTGTAAGGGTTTGAAA